ATGATTGTCAGAAGGGCCATCAAGGTACTGGGCTGGTGGCTTCCTGCCTGCACAACACAGTCTCCATCCCAAGCTGATGAGACCTTAGATTTGTGTGGTGATTCCTTCCCTGGGTGGCATGCAGGCACTGATTGCCTCACAAATCGTGAACATCCTTAGTCTCTCAAAATAGGTCACATTGCCTTTAAGGTTAAGACCTGTTCTTGTGCGCAAACTGGATCCAAGGTAATCAGCCATCCCAGGGTTTGTGCCAGTGTCCTCAAGCTATAGGCAACTTTAAAGGTAGTCAGGAACTGTAAACTTCACTGGGTTGAAGTTGGGATATGCTAGACAAGGGCCATGTTTAGGCTTCCTGGGGCTTGGGATGGGAGAAGGAATAGGAACCACTCTCTTTCTGGGCTTGGGGACCTATTGGCTAAGTGGCTCAACTTTTTCATGGCTGGTGCTTGGGCCAGGAGGAACCGCTTGTGTTGAGGGCTGGGTCTGGTTTCTGCAGAATGATTCAGTGGTGGCTGGTGGTGGAGCCATTGAGATGGAGCTCTCCAAGTACCTGCGGGATTATTCAAGGACCATTCCAGGAAAACAGCAGTTGCTGATTGGGGCATATGCCAAGGCCTTGGAAATTATCCCACGCCAGCTGTGTGACAATGCTGGCTTTGATGCCACAAACATCCTCAATAAGCTGCGAGCTCGGCATGCGCAGGTGGGTCCTTCCTCTCCTCGGAGTCCAGGGATTAGGTCGATGGGGCTAGATTCTAAGTGTATGCTGCGCTTAGTCAAACTCTGTGCTCAGCACAGGTGATGGGGCTGAAACTAAACCTGGTACCAACGAACTGCCTCTTCTGAAGGCAGAGGCAAAGCCACAGTGGCAGGACTGGAGGTTCCAGGGTTTCTTCAGTGCTTCTATCAAGGGTACAATCACTCCTCATAGTGTGATCAGAGGAGCCAGAGGAGCCCTGCGGCCCCTGCCTGGAAGCACACTGACCATGTGTGGTGGGTTTCTGGGCATGGTTGTGAAGCACTCCAGAGCCAGCCATGGCTCTGCCACCTCCACGTTGTCACCTCTGAGGTCTTCATTTGTTCATTTGCTACTTAGCAAATATATATTTAGAGATGTTTGTTAAGTGCTGGACACTGACAGCAGCAGCACTTAGTGAGTGACCTTGCTTTTGACTTGTGTTAGGACTTTAAGCAAGTCACTTTACCTCTGTGTCTCAGTTTCCTCATCTGTAAGGTGAGGACTAATGGAAGCAGTGAGATAAGGGGTTGGACAGTGTTTCTCTTGAGAACCATGGCTTGATATATGCAGTCCTCCCCAGGCAGCACCTCGGAAGAGGGCCAGAGCTGTATGAGCAGCATCCAGAGTTTGACGGGGATGGTTGGTTGGCAGGAGTGGGAAGAGGTGGAGTTCCAGGTTCCTGTTGCGATGTCATCTTCTCAGGGAAGTGTGGGCAAGCTCAGCGAATCAGGATTCCTAACATTCCGAGTCTTTTGTAAGGTGGGTATACAAGAAGAGATTTGGAAGCAGTTCTGTGTTACCTCCTCTGTTCTCTTCTTTCAGGGGGGCATGTGGTATGGGGTAGACATCAACAATGAGGACATTGCTGACAACTTCGAGGCCTTTGTATGGGAGCCAGCTATGGTGCGGATCAATGCCTTGACTGCAGCCTCTGAGGCCGCGTGCCTTATTGTGTCTGTAGATGAAACCATCAAGAACCCTCGCTCAACAGTGGACGCACCCCCAGCTGCTGGCCGCGGCCGAGGTCGTGGCCGTCCCCACTGAGGGGCATCTCACCCCTCACACGAGTGGCTGGCAGGCTGGCTGCAGGGTGCGCTCACTCTCGTCTTGGTTAATTGGTATTACAAGGGAAGGGTAGTAATTGGCCCACTGTTCTCACTAGAGGTTATTTAAATAAAACTTAAGACTTAGAATTCACTTTGCAAATTATTTGGGGACAGGCATTTTACTCATCAAATATCTTGATTATAGCTTAGGATTTTGACTTTGTATGTACTCAAAAGGTAGAAAAATTATTTTTCTTCCTACTGGGTTGTCTTCAGCAGCCTCTAGTTATTAAGGCAGAGTGTGGTCACTCTGCCAGTGGGATGCTCCGCCTAAGTGGCCCCTGTTTAGAAGTAGCTGAGAGATGTGGAGTTGCTTCCTTTTCTTCTGAATTCATCTTATTTAGCCCTGGCCTAGCCACGCACTATTCCCGGGATTTCTCTGGGTTTGAGTAAATGTGTTACATGATCTTGCCTGACCCTTCTACCTCCATATTCTTTTGGTGCAGTCTTGTGGCCACATCCTCTAAACTCTAGTGACCTCTTAGAAGTCCATTGAGGAGGTGGCTGAATGAGCACCCACCTGGTCTCAGTTCAACCACAGTGGTCGTGAGGGTCCCTTTCTCTCCTTGACCAGTGCCAAGTTTGGATTGACCACAGATCAGCTGGAAATCAGCAGGGTCTAACTACCTCCTCGTTTATACTAATCCTGAGAGCTGGCCTATAGCTAGCTGTAATTAGTAATTATTGGTAAATAAGTCACCTTAAGCCACTGAAGCTTTTGCTGCCTGAAACTGAGAAGTGTTTTTTAAAAAAAGAGAAATCTGAGTCCAACCATCCCTGGTTTGATAGATTCAAAAGCAGAATAGGGTAGTGGGCAGGTCCAGACTTTGGAATCTGGCATCCCTCCTAATTCGATGGTCTTTGGGTAAACTAATCGTTCTGAGCCTCAGCTGTTACACCTGTATGAAGATAGGAACATCTGGCTCAAAAGTTGGGGTAAATGCTCATCTACTTGTTTGATGCTAGCACCACTCACTGTTTAAGCCTAAACACCTGTTCTGATTTCATATATTTTTAAGACATGAATAATCAGTTCAGTGGGGCAACTCCCTTTTGTATAATGGGGACGTCAAGGTCAGACCATGATGGGAGCTTGGTCTCTCCTAGGCCAAAGCCTTGATTGGCTGGCCAGAGCCACCCGAGGTAGCCAAGCCAGTTAGGGACTGAGCAGTGCCTGCTGCGCCTGTTGTATTTGTGCTGGGGTTGCCCTTAAAGATGGCCTCTCTTGGCTGACAAAAATAGCACCCCAAGGCTTTTTGTCTGCATGCAGACATAAAGGAAGCTGTGGCAGGGGCAGTAACTTGCATGGCCTACCCCAGCAACGTCTAGTCCAGAGACAGGTTTAATGCTTCATTCACCCCGTTAATGCCATTCAGGTCATCCACCTCCTTCCTGCCCTCAGTGCACTTTAGCTGCAGAAAGGCTTGGTGATAGACGGACAGATATGCCACCTACCATTTACTATTCCAGTTTCACCATCTTTTATTGGATACAAAGCCATAAATTCTCTGATGCCCATGTGAGTCTTTAAATACATACTCAGGTACATTCGGCAAAGGGCATCTAGGGGCAATGTGGAACAAAGTGCTGGGATGGTGATGCCTGGGTGGGGCAGATAAGTGGGGCCAGGGAAGGCCCCCTGGGGGCTGGAGGTACAGGCACCACTTCAGAAACAAAACCAAAAATTGCTCTCCACCCCTCTGCCTGATTTGCTTGGGGTGGGGGGAAGCTTCCCTCTCAGCTCAGGCCCATTGCAACCTGGCTGTGCAGGGAAGGCAGGGCCTAGGGGTCACTTGTGGAGGTCCCCACCAGTGGTTCCCACTAGAGCCAAGCCTACTGGCACCAGCCACAAGGCAAGCCTAGGTCACCTCAGACCTCTGCACCTGAATGCAAGACCCCTGCCAGGGCAGAGCCAAGGCTGGGAAGCCCAAGGCCAAGCCTCCCTGGGGCCTGCCAGCGGTGGACTCATGATGGGGAAGCCTGCCTGATTGTCGGGGCAGTTGGGACTGGCCCGGGTCCCAAGGAGTTGGGGAGGGAATAGGAGCTGGTTGCCTTAGTTGGCCCTGGTACTCTGATCTTCACCCAGTCCTATACCTTATCCTCAGGCAAGGGCTGTAGATGAACACACTTATCCAGGAATAAATAAATACACATGATACACAGCAATATATACAGAAATGCAGGCCTGGGACAAGGCTGGGTGAGAAAGCATGGCCACCAGGGCCAAAGACATGCCAGGCTCCTGGGGAAGGGAAGTTATACTCATCAGGGACTGACAGGCTGGGACAGATCCCATCAGTTTGAGTTTAGTCCTCTGGGCACTTGGGCCCTGCACCCACTCACCATCTCTCCTATGATCACCTCAAGTCCTCCAGGAACTAGGTCTTTGGCACCAATAGTCACTCTGGAAAGGTCTTCAACTTAGCGCCTTGGAAGGATTGGGGCCTGGGCAGCTCCCCACTGTGGCCCAAAGGACTAGAGACCAGGACCAGGGGTACAGTTGGGACCCAAAGGCAAAGGATAGAATCAAACCTTGGAGCAGCAGGCCTTGGGGAAGGAGGTGGCTTTTTTTTTTTTTTCTTCTCTTAAAGCATCTCCTGCGGGGCTGGCTCAAGCGCCACTCTCGTGGGACTAGAAAAACAAGCTGCTTTGGTCCTTAGGTGGTTTCTCCTGGCTGGTGAAAAGCCATGTTCTGAGCAGCCCACTCCCTCTCCCTCAGGGATCCAGACACACAGCATCTCTTCTGTTCACAGCCCGAAGAAAGCATGATGAAGTCATCAAGCCAAGTGTGCCGAGAACCTCCCCGGAGCTGGGTGGGGCTGGGCTGTGTGGCAGGGAGAGGTGATAGGGACACCATCCATGGCACCTCTACAGATGCCTGGGTCCCTGGAGTAGAGCCTGCCTTGCTTTGCTTTGCTATTCCTCTTTGCATCATTAGGTGTGAGATATGGAGGGCTCTTCTTTGGGTGAGTAAAGGATGAGGTGCTACCAGGGATGCCAGGGGCCTTCCATCCCTATTCCCCATCCTCAGCCCTAGCTGACGGTTGACAAGTGGAACGTCCTAGTCAACGAAAGCTCCCTGCCTCATCCCCATGAGATGTAAAAAATAGCGTTGAGTTGGTGGGGAGGCGGGGTGGGGGTGGGGGGCTTGCAAACCTGCCACTTTCCAGGGCAGGCGTGCAATGAGACACGCTGTGACCTGTGTTCCCATTGGCAGGGGCTTTAGCCTGTGTGATGTGCACTCCCACACATCCTTCACATACTCGGCTAGAAAACATAGGTTGGGGCACTTGGTGGGTTTCCTGGCAACATCTAAACCCATGAGAAGCGAACTTCCCACCAGCCGGAGAGGGAGTCTTGTTCACTCGGCTGCCTGCACTGCTGGTGGTGCTCAGGGCGTTTGCACAAATGAATGAACCTACTACTGGCATCAGCCCTTTCAGGACCACCTTTCTCCCACTCTAGCTCACTACCCACGCACCTTGACTTCCTTTCCCAAGGCTAATGCTGGGCATTCCGGTGGGCACCCACCCAGGGAGAAAATGCCCAAAGCCTTATATTCAGGGATAGAGACTTTCTGGGGAAGAAAAAGTCCCTCAGTAGGGCAGGCTCTGGCTGGCCATGCAGGGCATCTCTTTGTGCTTTGTCCAGGAGACAGGCAGGGCAGCACCTCTGGTCATGGGGTCATGGGGAACAGGGGCTACAGGGGGTGCAGTTGGAAGGCTGGCCTGATGCACCCAGGGCATCCAGGCCCTGAGTGAATCTCCATCTGCAGGCCAGAAAAGTTGTGCTTCTCCTTCCTGTGACTCATTGGGGGCAAGGCTGGGGATGTGGGAGCCAATGGAGCCAGCTGCTCTGGCGTGGGTTTGCCACACAGCCAAGGCTTTGTGCAAGACCTACAGGAAGTTGCCAACATGAGACCCTTGGTATCTGGGGTCTTCAAAGGACAGGGACAGAATAAGCCATGGGAAGAAGTCGTCAACAATGAAAAGAGCCAGGCCAGCTGGGTATGGAGCCAGGGAAGCTGGGTGCACTGTGGAATCTGTGGGGCCTAGCTCGGGAGGACTCATCACAGGGTAACCAAGGGCTGGGTCTTGATGTCCAAGCCAGGTTGTGGCAGCAAGTTGGGTACCTGGAAAGGACTTTGAAACTAGAGGAGCCCAGCCCCAGCCAGGACCAGTGCCTAATGGTTAGGGCTGAGAGCCAGTCCTGTGCAGGAGAGAAGAAAACCCTAAGCTGGATCTAGGTGAATGTTTGAAAGAACTTTCCAACAGGTTAGCAGTACCCACAACCTCTGAGCCACTGCAGTTCTGCAGAGGAACTGGGAAGGCCTGAGTCTTTTGAGCCTTAGTGCTGGGACCTGGTCTTGCATGCAAAGGCTAGTAAAACCCCCCACTTGCATTCTGTGTCTTCTCAGCCAAGCAGCTGTGGCTTAGGCCCCGCAACCGCCCCAGGCAGAAGGCTCCCAGCAGAGCCCTCGCCGATGGGGCTGGTGGAGACTGAGGAGGGGGACAAGTCCAGTGAGGGTGTTCTTCCTCTCCAGCCTAGCTCCCTACCAGGGCCACATCCTTAAGTAAGCTAGCCAGACAAAGAAGAAGTCAAACCACCCTCCTCATGGCCTCCCCGGGGCCCCAGCACAGAGGGTAGCACAGTGACTCCCTCCCACCTAGCCTTGGGGACTCAAAGGCCATTGGAGTCCTGCCCAAGCACCTGGATTAGTACAACGTTCCTTCTCACAGGTGACAGAGTTTCCCAGGGTAAGGGCCTTGCCCCTCTAGAGGCTCGGGATTGCTGATAGGTATGGAAACATGTACCTTTTAGCTCGGAATTTAGCTCTGGTGTGTCATGGGGTATGTGGTGGCTAAGAGGCGGGATCTTGTCTTTTCTACAGCAATAAAAACTTTTTTTCTCTTCCTGGCAATTTTCCCCTTTTGGGAGGATGGTCTCAATGTTCCATGGAGAAGTTCTAGGTCAAGGTTTTGCCCTTCCAAGCCCATTCCCACTACCTCACTGTACCCCTGCCCCCCACCTTTGGCTGACCACATGCCCAGACCCCTAGGCCTATTTGTTATCCATGGAGAATGTGGACCCAGAGCCCAGGTGGGCTGTCTGAAGAGGGTGTCCCACAGAAGGCTGAGACAGGGCAAGGCAAGGAGAAGAGCCCTCTTTGCCAAGTCTGAGCTGCCTTGCACAGCTCCCTCTGGGCTGGGGTCTAGCAGAGGTCCCAGACCGGGAGGCTGGGCTTCGGGAAGGGGAGGCCTGCCCAAACAGCCTGAGCAGCCAAGGAGCCACTGGGTGGTTATTGCAAATCCTTGGGGCAATGACACCAGGTGCTGGTGGTGACTCAGCTCCTCTCTGGCTGTGCCCAGATGGCTGTTCCAACTGGGGGTGGGGTAGGGACCAGGGGGTAGCTTCTGTCCAAGCCCCTGCCCTGGAGAGGCATGTCCAGGGTCAAGCCTGTGGCTCCACTGTCCCAGGAAGAGGACAGGAAACTGTCAACCCCTCCTTGTAAGCCAGGGATAACACTAGGCTAGGTCAAGTACAAATCAGGGTCCTTCTGGAGGTCCAAAGAGAGTGCTCTGGTGTGGGGCTGGCAGGGGCCCTGCCGCCCTCCACCCGGGTTAGCAGCCACCTTCCACCTTGATGTGCAGGATCTTAGAGAAGCCCGGCCTCCGTCGCAGGGCCTGCAGACCGAACCCTGGGTTAGTTCCCCTCAGGGCCAGACAGGTGGGGACTTCCCATCACCAGCCCCAACCTAAAGATGCCGCTTGGGATCGGGGGTGGCCTCCGAGCCAGTTCCTCACCTGGAGTTTTGTCACCATGTCCTCAAACAGCTTCTGGGCCTCAGGACTGTTGGGCTCTTTGAAATAATCGGCAATCCCAATCTGGACCACAATGGACTTGAGGTTCCGACAAATGCCTGGGAAAAGGTAGGTAAGGTAGGGACCCATGTTTGGCCCAATCAGAGGGCCTGCCTCCTTTCCTCTTACTAACGAAACCAGAGCCCTACTGAGAAACAGTCAAGTGCCAGGCGCTGGGAACATAAAGAGAAGAGCAGACCCATGCTGTTCAGGGGCTCAACTGGACAATGGAAGAAGGTGAAGGGTGAGGTCCAAGAGCAGAGGCTGCGGTGGACTCTGGGAGGGTGAGTGGGCAGCAGCCAAGTGTGCAGGTGCTCTGGGAACTTCTCTGGCAGAGGGGACAGTTGTGCTATGGCCTGGGCATTTGGAAATGAATGACAAGCACAGTGAGGATGATGGGTCTTGACTGGTAGCAGAGTGCTTAAAGGACTGTGTGTTGCCATGAGTCAGGGGAGGAGGAGCAAGAAGGTCAGGAGGCTGAGAGGGTCCCAGAGGTCATGGTTTTGGAAGCTGAGCAGTTAGTTCTGGTGGTCAGTTCAGGCCAAGGCCATGAGGCTGAAGGGGAGGGAAGAAGAGGGTCCTGGAGATCATAAGGTCAAGGAAACTTCAGCACTTGGGACATGGAGTCCTCCCAGGGGCCAAACGGTCCTGGATGATGGTCTCACCTGATGAGTGTGAGCAGCCTGAGTTGGGCACTTGTGTCCTCAATGAAGGTAGAAGAATGACTAGGAGTGGACTAGGTAGCTGGAGGGAGGTGGGGCCAGAGGAGGTATGACTTGGAGTCTACACCAGGGGGAGGGGAATCTTTCTCCTGAGGACTGTCTTCAGGGACTCATTATCTCATTTAATTCTCTTACTCATTCTAGAAAGTCAGCTTAGAAGATGGAGACAGAACTCAGAGAAGTATAGTAACTTGCCCAAAGTCACACAGCTAATAAGCAGTAAAATCAGAATTGAGGCCCAGGTCAGTCTACTCCAGAATCTGGTGCTCTTAACCCATTTGTTCTCTTGCCTCTGCCCTTAGCTGGAGGCACACAAGGGGTCAGATGGTGCTGCACAGCTTCTGTCTCCAACGTGGGTGGAGCACAGGCCAATAAATGTCTGCTGAACTGAACTATTTGGACCAGATGCTGGCAGGCCTTGAATGCTGCACTGCCCTCAGAAGGCACTGGTGGCAAAGCCAGGACTAGAACCCTGGTCAGTCTAACCTTAGCACTGGTACTTGCTATCTAGGAGTGACAGGAAGTTGGTTATGCTACATGCTGATAAAGCATGGTAAGAGATGACACTTGTACCCCACCCTGCATTCCCCATCACTCACTGTTGAAATGTAGCAGGGCCTTGGGGGTGACAGGGGTGGCCGTGAGCACCAGCATTTCCAGTCCCTTCAGACCTTCCCGACAGACCTCAGCTGCCACCTCCTGGGTGATCTCTGACACATGGTCCAGCTCTAGGACCTGCAGCCGCATGCAGTTTCTCGCTAGGAAGAGGGAAGAAGAGGGGAGGTCCTGCTGCAAACTCCCCAGGTTGCCTCCTGCCCAGTGCCCTGATGCTCCCGCCACCACCAAGGCTGCAGCCCCAAGCCCCTCTGGAATTTCAGTGTTGCACCCATGACTGCTTGCCATTAACCCCTGCCCCAATCCCAAGGAAAGACTCACCGAGTGATGCCAGGCCCTGCACCCCACAGCCGGCACCCCCAACCCCCAGGGCCCGGAGGTGGGGCCAACAGCGACCGATCATCTGCAGGCAGCGATTACTGAAGCGTGTGGGCTGCTGGCTGGAGAATAGGGGGCAGGAAGGGCTGTCAGGGAAGCCACTAGTTGCATGACAGCCCAAGCCTGCTCCTCCTTTGGACCACACTCGGGTAAGGGCCCCACCAACCACTCAGTTGCTCAAGTCAGACACCTGGGATCACCTCGACTCCTCTCTCACCTCCTGCTAAGACCTATGAATTCTAATTCCTGAATAAGTCTTCAACCCACACCTCAGACCACTGTCAACATTCACGTGGATTATCACCAGTCTCCCTAATTCATCCTCCAAGCTCTTGACAGTGAGCCAGTCATTCCTACATTCTCTCACTCAGTCATTAAGCAAATGGTTCCAAGTGTCTACTACAGCCAAGAACAACTGAGCTAGACCCTGGAGATGTAGTGGTGATGATTCAGACAGGGTCCCTGCCCTCAAAGAGTAAACAGGAAGGTGAAGGGGGAACAAAGAATGTTACTCAACTGATGTAATCTATTTTTTAAGATCTAAAATCCCCCAACTGCCTTCTAGATGAAATGAAAAAATCTAAACCCCTCAGGCAAGGCCTTCCTGACCTTGGCTCAAACTGCCTCTCCACACTCACGGCTCGGCTATGCCCACCACTCACACCAAACTTGCTGTTTCCCTGAAAACTTCATCCCTCAACACTCGCCCCGGCCACAGACATCACTCTGGCTTGGTATTAGGGATGTGGAAATGGACATTTACAGCCTCTGCCACAGCAGTTGAGACAGGTGCCGCAGGAGTGGTGGCAGAGGAGTAGTGACAAATTCTACCAGGGTGTATTTAATGAAGGGACACTAGAAGACCTGGGAGGAGTTGTCACACGGAGTGAGGGCTTGGAGGGCAGGACACAGGGAGCAGAAAAGCCTGATATGTTTGAGGAGCCCCAAGGAGAGCCATGAGTGATCTCACACTCTGGAATCTCCAATAACCAACTCTTTTGTACATTATACACTGACTGCCCTGAACGGCCTTTCATATGCCAAACCAATCTGTCTACTTCTAGCTAGTGTTTACCCAATACTCACTGCAGGCTTGGTGAGCACATCTCATTTGAGCCAGCAACAGTCCTAATAAGGTCAACAGATCTCTAATATCGCCTTCGCTATACAGATTGAAAAACCGAGGCACAATCGAGTCACCAAAAGTCACGCTGTTAGTAAGCCAGGACATGATTCCAGGTCTGATTTTAAGCCTTGCTTCTAACGCCTAAATACACAGATTGATGAATGTTTCCCCAGCCAGCTGATAGAGTGGGCCCAGATAAACTCATTTCTCAGCCCCAGACCACACCCAACTCTGTCCCTTCCCCACCCCTGCCAGGGCTCACCAGGGGTGAAGTGGCGCCACTTGGAGGGAGACAATCTCTCTGCAACCTGCACCGAGGGCCCAAATGACCTCATGGCCTACAGGGTCTGTGGAGCTCCTGTTGAAAAGACAAAGCTGGGGCCACCCACCCCGGTGGCCTCCGCTCCCTTTTCTGGGGCCACAGAGCCCTTGGATCCCTTTGCCTGAGAGGGGGAAGGGTATGCAGGGTCCAGGGATCCCTTGGGCCAGAGGCCAAGAGGGTATGGGCCTTGCATCTGGTGGGGTGGGCCCACCTGTAGGTGACAGCCTGCAGGGCACGGCAGTAGCAGCTGGCCAACCAGAGTGAACGGTCGGTGAGGATGTTAGGACAGTGGGAGATGCGCAGGATCAGCAGGTTGCCCCCCGCCGCCTTCAGCAGGGACTCCAGCCCTGCTTCCAGGCAGCCCCTGGGGATGATCAAGAAGTCAGGGAGCTGCTTGTGGCCACCTCCTCCTCTGGGAAGCATTCACATAATTCTGGGTCTTCGGCCCAGGAGCATCCACCCACCCGCCCACCCACCACGGCCTCACCGGGTGCTCCGGGCATACTCCTCCTTGCTCTCCTTTTTGCCCCGCTGCCGGGGCTTCAGGTTCTGCAGTGTCAGTGAGTGGGCCTGGGTGCACCACTGAGCCAGCATTGACAGGAACTACAGAGAGAGAGGGGTTACCTGCGGATGGGGTGCTGAGTTTGGTTGGCTGGAGGGGGACCAGCTCCAGAATAGGAGGCCTCATGAGAGCATTTTAGGGAGCCAGACAGGAGCTAGGGTATTATAAGCATTGCAAGGCCAGACCTGGAAGGGCTAGACTCAGAGTGGGAAGATCTTTCAGAGCAGGGGTGAGTGGGAGGGCAGGGGCAACGGGCAGGGACAGGCACCTTGGAACAGACTCGGGCATTCTCGAGCAGGACCCGTGTCCAGACGGCAGGGTGGCGGGCCACGAAGCGCCAGTCCCGACAGACCTCGGCGGCATGCAGCAGTGTGCGTGTGTCCAGGTAGGTGAAAATGCAGAACAGGGCAGCTCGCATCTTGAGGATCTCCGGGCTGATGACCTCGTTGGAGCGGGAGGGGCTGCCCCTCTCTGCTCGCCGACCCCGCCCACTGCCTCCCTCAGGGCGGGCTGCACAATACCAGAGGATCAAAGGTGAGTGTCAAGCATCAAAGGACAGCATGGGGATGTGGGTGGGGAACTGGGATAAGGTGGGAGCTGTAGGAGGAAAGGGCTGAGACACCCATGCTGGGGAACCAGCACCTTGGAAAGAAGGACAAGGGGCCTCTGCTTCCCCTTCCTCTGCATTACCCCCAGAACTAATTTTGCAAATTAGGAAAAGGTGGCCTTTCCTCAAGTAAACTCTTTTTAAGATCATATATCATCACATAGTCCAAACTCACCCCCTAGATGAGGCAGCTGAGTCAAGTTTGGAGAAGGAAAGGGTCTAGAGGGTTAGGGTACAGATGGATAGAAACCAGGCCTCTGTGAACAGAAGGCAGATGGGAAGCTCCCCAGGGCAGTCACAAAGGTACAGCCATACACCCTGACCCGAATCCTCTCACCTCCTCACCCTGACCCAGCCACATATGTGCATGGCCTTGTGTGCATATGGGAAGGCATGCTCTCCAACTGCTCCAGGGGGCTCAGTGTCTGGAGTCAACACTCAGCTACTCTCCCATAAATGTCAAGGAGCTCACCACATAAATGGACCCCCTAAGATATGGCATCCTTGTGCAAAGTCCAACCTGAGCACGTTGTAATGCAGCACTGCCCTGTCACATGAGTTCCCGCTCCAGGCTTGCAGGGTGCTATGTGGAAGTGCATCATTCTCATTGTGGGAAGTCTGAGGCAAGGGGAAAGGAGGTGCAGGAGCCCAGGAGACATACTGCCTCAGTCCTGTGTTCCTTCAGAAGGCCAGTACCAAGGACCTGGTCTCTTTGCCCACCCACCCAAGGCTCACCTGAGAGTCGGCAGCTGCTCAATGGCCCAGCCATAGCAGGCCCGGGGCGGGGGGCGTCCGAGGGGCCCTCAGCCTCTGACTCAGTGGTTCGGGAGCCCACATCTGAGACATCACCCTCTTCCCCCTCTGTGCTGTGTCGGCGGGGTCTTCGCTGCCAGTTCTGGATGGCCTGGCGCCGCAGGCCTGAGCTTCGAGTAGGTGGGGCCCGCTCCGAGCCACCATTGGCAGCCTGGGCCCGTGTGCCCAAGCCCCCAGGGCCATTGTCCTCTGGGGCCCCCTCTTCTGGCCGGGGCAACTCGAGACTGTCACTGTCATAGCAGCCTGAGCTCTGGGATGCAGCTGGGACTCGGCTGGAGGCTCTGGGATGGGGTAGACCAAAGAGTAAGGAGAAGGGAGGGCATCAGGTCTGCCCAAAGTACCCCCACCACCAGCCAAGGGAGACCGACCCGCCCTACTTTCCAAGAGCCCCCTCTGAGTATGGAAAGGCAGACAGAGGTGATCCAGGGAGGATGGGGGTGGGAGGTGCCGAGCCTCCAGACGGGTCAGCCATCCAGTGGGCCAATGGAATTTTCCAAGGTGAGGGTGGGCTTAGTGGGGTGGGCTAGGCCCAAGGCTTACCCTGTGCTGGGAGAGGAACCATGCCGTGACACTGCGTATGTGCTAGGCATGGCCGAGCCTGCGTGGTGTTCTCGCTGTGGGCCCCCAGAGCGGGAGGGAAAGGAAGGGAAGCAGAGGAAGCAAGAGAATGAGAAGGAGCAGGAGGAACAGGGCACAAGACGGAGAGAAGAGAAGAGAGAAGAAGGAAAAAAGTTGGGAAAGATGGACAAATAGACAGACAGACAGCCCAGAGAGGTAGGCTCACCAGCCCCCTCCCTGCAGCCGCCCAGCACCCCAGACCCGGCTTGTGGCTCCTGGGCTCTCATTTACAGAGATGGACAGAGATAGACTCCTGAATCACACCTCACTATAGTCTCAGGGGCCTGTACTTCTGCCCAGTCGGAGGTTCTGCCCTTTTCCTAGTCCCCTACTTCAGGCCTGCAGCTGCTCATGGGGAAGAGCCAAAAAAGGGAAGCATGGAGCATTACAGGGGGGGATATCAGGCCACATGTGAGAGGAGTTTATGGGGGCCCGGTGTGCAGATGGAGGAAGGAAGATAGGTGGGAACTCACCAATCTGCCTGGGACTCGGGTCCCGGGCCCAGCGCCACTTCCCCCAGCTCCACGGCCCAGGCTGGTACTTGGTGTGCTGCCACAGCTGCTGCTGATGACCTGCAGCTGCCGTTCAGCACGGTCAGCCCGCTCAAGGAGCTCCTCAATGAACTGCTGCAGCCGCAGCTTGGCGCTGGCCTCCCGTGCCGCCGTCTCCTTCAGGAACTGGTCGATCTGCACCACCTCCCTGGGCCCAGAGCAATCTCTTACCCCACTGCCTTGGCCTCGCTGCCCAGCCACCCTCTGGAGGAGGCCCTGGCCAGAGGGGAGCAACATGGGTACAGCTGCCCACTGGGTCTGCTCATGGGCACGTGGGTACATGCAGAACAGGCCCGGGCACCCTGCCTCACACAATGGCACACACAGAAATGCCTGCATATACTCCAAGTCACACACTCACACCCCACCCAGCCAGCCCCTAACACAAAACTAGACACCCTTGCTCCCCACAGAAATCCTTAGGCATAACAGTCACCTCTTCCCTCCAGACACACTCACAGGTGTACACAATCACACAGCCATGTACACAATCACACATGCGCGCGCGCACACACACGCACTCCCGTACCTGTACACATATCGCGTTCATTCACAGGCACACAGTCGGAGACAGGCACAGTCCCAACAACACATTCAAAAACGCGCACGTGTGCGCATGCACACGCACGTGCGCGCGCGCACACACACACACACACACATACACACTTTCAGAAATGTTCTCAGATGCAGAAGCATACTTCCAGTTATACCAACCTCCAGGAGTTGCACGTACACACAGCACAAGAGTCACAAGAGTATTTATTCCCGAATGCATTCAGTTGTTCATGCTTCCACACAACCTTGATGAGGACCTCCTTGGTGCCAAGCACTGTCCTAGGTATTGAGGACTGGGCAGTGAACAAAGCAGAGAAAAACTCCTGTCCCCATGAAGCTTATATCACTATGAGGACAGATTAATAACACCTACATATTTCATAATTCTACATTTAAAGACTAGAGAAATAAAGAGACGCCAGCAAAGAAGACTGAGAAGAAGCAGACAAAAGACAGAAGGCGATTCAAGAAGACTATCCTGGAAGCCAAGTGAAGAAAGTGTTTCAAGGATTAGCTGTGTTAAACGCTGCTGATGGGCCAATTAAGATGATGGCTTGGCTTTGGCAACTTGAAGATTGTTGGTGACATGGAGGACGGTGGTGGAGGTGGATACCTGATCAAGAGTGGGTTCAAGAGAGAATGTGAGGAAAGGAATTGGAGACAAGGAACATAACACTTTCACGAGTTGTTCTCTGTAAGGAGGAGAGAAAAGGGTCAGCTCAAGGGGGAGGTAGGGTTATGTATGGCCGATGGGAGAAATGAGCTTGTTTGTATGCTTTTAGGAATGACAGTAGATAGAGAAAATCTGATGAGGGCAAAGGGAAAGGGGCAAGATGGAAGAGGATCCGGCCATAACGCAAAAGCTGGCCTTGGCTAGAATAGAGAATAATGAGAAGCCGTCTTCACAGGCCCGCACACGGCCATACTGCCATGGTCTGGCAGTCCTAAACACACACTTATGACACCATCTTGGCCCCACACGCACCATCATTACACACTCAGAGTCACACACAGTCACACACTCAGGAACATTCGTAGGAACGTCCACCACAAGGCCCTGCGGGCCACTCACTGCTGCTTGCGGCTCAGCTCCTGCTCCTTGTGCACCAGGTCCTGCTTGAGCGAGGCCAGCAGCTCCACACTCACGTCCACCTGGCGCGAGAGCTCAGACGCACGCTCCTCCAGCTCCTCCTTCTCACGCCCCAGTCGCGCGCTCTCCTGTCGCGCAGTCTCCAGCTCCGCTGCCTTGCGCTCCAGCTCGGCCTGCAGCCGGCCCACCTGGCCTGCGATCTTTTGCTCCACCTCCTCACTCAGCCGCTCCAGCCGCCTGTCCACCTCCAGTTTTTCCAGCGCGCGGATCTTGAGGCGCGCCAGGCCTTCCTCGTAAGCCACATCCGCGGGTGAGGGAGATGCGGGAGAAGCGGATGCGGGCCCGGGGCAAGGGCCGGGGCCAGAGCCGGGAGGTGGCGTCGAGCACGCGGAGGAGGTCACGGACTTGCGGGCGAACAGCTCTCCCAGTGGGATCTCAATCTCGCGCAGCGCGTAGCGCGCGGCGGCGGTGGGCACGAGGCCCGGCTCTGCCAGCTCCTCGCAGGGCAGGCTGGCAGGCACCAGGTCGCCGGGAAAGTGGGCGAGAGGTGCGTGGTGGTGGTGGTGGTGTAGCAAGTGGGGCGTGGCCGGTGACGGCCCGGCGGCCTGCTCCTTGCCCTGGAAGGACGTGCTCTCGAAGACCTCACGCCGGGCACCCGGCACGGCCAGCAGGGCGGCAGGCTCGGGCGCCAGCGGGAAGCCTGAGGCAGCAGCGGCTGCAGCCGCAGCGGCGGCGCCATCGCAGATGCTGTTGGTCTTGGAGAGGATGTAGAGCGTCTCGTAGGTGTGGCTGTACTCCAGGTGCGCGCGCAGTGACGACAGGCTCCGGAAGCGCTTGTGCTCCCCGCAGCGGGGGCAGCGGTAGGGCAGGTCCAGCGAGGCCATGGCCCCGCCGCCCGCGTGGCGCCCAGGCTCCACTGCGGCCGCCCCACTGGTCAGCTGGGCGCACTCATGGGGGGCCGTGGGCGAGCCCCCCTGCAGGATCAGGAAGGCTCAGGGCACCCGCAGCCAGGGGCAAGGAGACTAGAAGAGAGGGAGGGAGTAAGTCTTAGGAGGGGGTAGCCCCGCGCCCCCTCCTCCCACCCCATATCTCCCACCCGTGAGGAGAAACTGACTTCCCCAGAAAACACGTGCCCAGAAGAGAGGGGCGAGGGGAGACCCATGGCCTAATCTTCCAGAGGGGACTGGCCTGCTCTGGTACCTGTGTGAGGGCCTTTACATGTACGAGAGTGAGAAAGAATGAGAATTCTTTAAGAAAAAATAAAGGCATTAGTTTTATTTTTAATAGTTCCAACCTGGACATAACCCAAGTCCCCATCACCAGCAGAATGAATAAACTGTGGTATATTCATAATAAAATATTACCCAGCAGTAAGAAAAGGAACCACTGGTACATGCAACAACATGGATGAATCCATTCAATGTATGTTACATGAAAGAAGCCAGACCAGACTGCATACTGTAGGATTCCATATACGTGGATTCAAGAACAGATTAAATTGAAGATAATAAAGTCAGATAGAGGTAAGTTACCTCTGGGGGAGCTATAGACTGAGAAGGGATAGGAGGGAACCTTATGTGATGCTGAAACTTCTGTGACATTCTATACCTTGATCTGAGTGGTGGTGTATACATATGTAAACAATCAAGCTGTACACTTAAGATGAATGCACTATATGTATATCTCAAAAGAAAATATCCTTAAAAGAAGATGCTTATTTCCATGCCATGCAAACCACACCCATAAGATAGCCTGGACTATTGGTACCATGTTGCAGTGATCAGGATGTTACTTCACCTGATAATACCTCTGTAAGTATGTGTCACTGTTTGTTCCTCTCCCTGCTTCTGTACCACATCCTCCCATCCCTGCCACTCCAGGCACCTAGGTCTTTTTTCTCAGATTTCTTTGCTAGATTGGTCTCCATTAAGTGCCCTTGTCCTCCCCAGGCCCCTTCTTGCAAGGGCCATGATATTTGTCTTACCCAGGCCCCTTCTGGCACAATTCACCAACCACCCTTCCCAGAATCCCACCCTTGGTCACCCTAAATTCCTGCTACCCATCCCTTCTTATCTCTGGCTTCTGGTCACCCCTCCCCTGCCTCATGGGGTCTATACTCCATTCCTCACTGCCATCCTCTTCCTAACTGCCCACAATCGAGTTTCAACCACCTTTTGCTGTCTCTATGCTCCACCAGATCACAGACTGTGTGCTAGTCAGACAATTCAGCTGACGCCAAGAGTCTTTACCCACTTGGTCTTTTGGCTGATGATACTCCGGATCCCTCTATCTTTACAGGCTGCTCCTCATTTGGGTTCTCTGACCTCCTCTTCTTGCTAATCTTCCTGTCTCTCTGATGGGAGGTTGGCCTTCATACCCTCTTTGCCTCTATCCTCTTCCCAGGCAGTCTCATTCACTCCCACAGATTAACTCAGACCTTTTAAGCCATTGAGTCTCAGTTCTGCCTCCCCATCCCAATCTGTTCTTGAATTCTGTTTGCTCTGGCATTTCCATATGGATATATGGGTGGATGTCTGTTTCCTTTGCCAGCCCAGAACCCAGTCCTCCTCCTGAGAACAGCACGCTGCTTAAACCTTGGGGAACCATTCTTCCTTCCCCACTCAGTCCACGCTCTAGGTGGGGGTTGATGGTCTACCCCTGGCTCCAGGGGTAAGAATGATATAGGCCTGGCCAATCAGAGTCCTGAGATGGGCACAGATCACCCAACTTGAGTTAATGAGTCTTTTCTCATTGAGTCAATGAGTCATTTCTCCAAGACTTCTCTGGGACTACTGGAGGAAAGCATTCTCTTTGGGCTCAAGTTTCTAAGTTGATGGGGAGGGTCAAAGCTGTGAGGGCCACCTTTGGGAGGAACCACCTGGGAATGAGGCCAAAACAAAGAAGTAGAACTGAGATGGAGAAAGAAAATCCTCACAGACACTGAGATCCTGGTCTGATCAGTTCTATAAGCAAGTCAACTCCCTTTTATGCTTAAGCCAGATGGAATTGGTTCTGTGTTAGTGGCACCAGGAAAAAATCCTAACCCAGAAATTAAAATCAGAAAAGGAATTTTTAAAAAGTAATAGACCTTAAGAAGGAATTCGTTGAACTAAGGGTGGGGGGAGTAAGATAGTACTGATTCTCTTACTCAGGAGTTGGTGAACCCTACTACACAGCAACAAAGCAGCTCATTAAACTCTCTCTCTGCCTCTGGAATACAGATGAGGTTCCTACCAAGGTTGAAACTTTGGATACTGTAGAAAAATGTCATGATATTGGGGTGTGGCTTTTCCCATGGCCTCAGTACGGTCCAAGAAGAAACAGACACACTCTGGCTGAAAGGGACCCATCAGAAAGCAGAAGGAAGAAAACTGCTTTGCTCAGAGAAGCACTTTGTGCCTGAGGCCAGTAATCCAATATGGCTGAGAGTCAGATAATTAAGAGCCAGTTCTCTGCTTCTAGCTAAAGTTAGCTCAAGCAAAGACAGGAAGGCTGGAAACACAGAGTGAGTGAGACAAACCTGGGGCCTGAGAGGCTCTTGACTCCTCAACTTCTGAGCCCCTTCTGCTGTGCCCCCACCCCAGCTCACAGAGGCAACCATTGCTTCCATTATAAGCAGCCTCCCGCTGGGCAGGAGAAGCAAATGAACTCTCCCTCCCACCCTAGAGTAGGGGTTTGAATTGCCCTGTGGCAGAGGCCTAAGTAGAGGCCACAAAAGTGTCGGCTCCAGGGGTGTGTAGAGCACCAAAGCCTGTTGCTAAGAGACAACCCCTCCTCCTTCCCCAACACCATCACCAGGGACTCCATTCAAGAATTGTAACTTCCAGTGAGGTCTCTAGTTTGGTTAATAGCTCTGGGGATGACTGAATGCAAATTGACTGAAAGCTTCCTAATGATGAAGAGAATTGTATTGCCAGAAAAAATAAGAACCGCAAAGCTAGAAAACAAAGGCTAGGGAACACTTAGCCTCTAAAGTTCCCCACCCACCAAATCTGCACCAATGAAAGGGGGACTCATCAGTGCTCCTCAGTGGCCACAGAGCACAAAGGACAAGGGCAGCTCTCTGAGACAGCAGAACAAGAGCAGCCAATAGGGGACCAGAGAACCTCATTGTAGCCAACTGGACAAGCATGTGGCCCATGCTATGGACCTATGACCCCTGAGTTTTTCCTTATCTCCCCTCTTCAACTGGAAGGATGTTTGTTCTTTCAGCTGTCAGCTATCTTATTTTTTCTCCATCATTGTAGTCTGACCATAGAGTGAAAGACCATGAGGGGCTAGCTCAGTACTTTGCCAAATAGCGCACCAACAAGATCTTGAATTGTGGCTAGATGTGGTAACTGATGAGAACTTGGAATGTCTCCTTCTGGAGAAGGGACAGTATGTTTTAAGTTTTGTGAGGGGATAGCTGCATTATGATAAACAGAAATTTTAAAAAACTTACATAAGAAGATCCGTGTAGACCGTATGCAGCCAACAGGTGGAATGTAGTGAACATGTATTGTTTTAGCTGCTCAGCTCCAATCCCCCTTTGTGGATAGATCCCCAAATTTTCGCTTAGAGAACAATTCCCCCCACTTTGAATCATTGTTTGGATAGAGTTGACCCCAGCCCATAGCTCCAGGGGCGCACACATGACCTCAGCCTGTTCATTGGTCACAGTGATCATTCAGTAATGGGCCTGTGCTCAGCTGGTAGAATGTGAACCTGGATCTGCTAGTGGCAGTTTATGTCCTCTCTTTGGGCAAGAAGAAAAAGACTCCTGATGACCTCCCTTGAGCATCCAGATCCAGGCGTGCCTGAAATTTTAACCCAGGAATTGTCTAGAGTATTGATTGGCTTTTACTTTTATTTATGGTCTTCATTAATATATTAAAGTTTAAAGTTTGCTTCGGTAAAATTTTTTTGCTTTTTGATTTTGTCCTAATGCTTAGGAAGTCCATCTTTCCCAAAATTTACATATGTTTTCTTTTAGTGCTTTGTGATTCCTTTTTGTAAAAGTCCAGAAATTTTTTTTAAATTAAAGACTTTAAACAAATAATCATAATGAATCATAATGCCATAAACTGCCAATGACTTGGTAGCATGAAAATACCTCATTTGTGTGGTTTCTTTTTATATGCTGGAGTTTTAGCTACCTATAAATTTTTGGTATGTGTGGTGAGACAAGGATTAAAAAAAAAAAAACTTTTTAAAATGGACATTTACATATATATTCAAAAATAGAGAGAATATGATGATGAATTCCTACGTATCTATCTTCCAATTTCAACTATCAACTCATGGCCAATTTTGTTTTACCTGTACACTGCTCCCCTGCCTCACAATTCCCCCATCTGCCACTGGATAATTTTGAGCAAATCCTAGATATCATATTGTTTCACCTAAAATACTTTAGTCTGTAAATGACAAGGACTTAAAGTTCTTTTTTAAAAAACTAATATTTAGTAATTGTTCTAACTTCACCTTCCTCTAGCTTTATTAAAACCCCAAAAGTAGCCTTGAGAGTTAAATCCAAAAGATGGTTTTCTAAAAAGATAGACAAAATAAATAGCCCTCTGGTAAATTCAAAGAGAAAAAAGAAAGACAGAAAACAAATACATAACACTATAATGAGAAAAGGGATATAAATGACAGATTTTTTTTCAAACTACTGAATTGCTACCAGGTACAACTCTTGGCCCCAATTTTTGAAAATCTGGATGAACTGAATGCTTTTCTAGGAAAATGTAAATTATCTTAATTGATTCAAGAAGAAATAGAAAACCTGAATAGACTAATAACTATAGATAAAACTGAAGAAGTTGGCAAAGTGACCAGGGATATTATAAATAGAATTCAGTTCACATACACACAACTGTTCATGAATAGGATTATTCTGTAA